CTTTTTTTCCTGGGCTGCTGGCTGCTTGTTGTGTTGATTTTTGTCTCTGGCCGCTGTTAAATTGCGTTTAACTGTTAAACTCGCCGCAGCCCCTGCTGCAAGTTCGTTGCCTAAGTCTTTCGTTTTGCGCGCGATTTTTATTGCCCATACGAAGTCAGTTTTATTTTATATTATTTTCGTTTGCTCTCTTGCCGCTTATGAAATCCGGCTGTTGTTGTAATAATAATCATAAGTAAATATGTGTGACTGGAGTGGAATGACTAACCGACTGAGTGCAATTGTGTATGCGTATGCCAGAGCCACGAAGTTGGCGTAATATGCCGTTAGCCAAACACTGCGAGCTGTTTTTCCCTCCGTTTATTACTTGGTATTTTAGTGTTTATTATTTTGGGTAGGGCGACAATTGGAGGTGACGAAGGTTACCCAGAAATATTTCGGGGGCAGAGATGGATGAGAGGTTAGTTGTTAGTTGAGGTTAGTTGTCATTTATAAAAAAAATCAGTTGAAGTTATTTTAAAAATATTAAAAGATTTAATTGGTTTGTTAGATTTTAAAAATATTTCTTAATATTTCTCATAAATAAACAAAAAATATCTAAACTCTAAAACAGACAAAGATGAGTCTTAAATACCATACACTTATTATGATTTATGGATTATGAAAATGACAATAATTTCAGCTTCGTTTGACACATTGTCAACTCAGCCATTCAAAGTGTGACTTGAATACCTCATAAATAAAAGCGAAAACGAACTCCATTCATGGTTTACAGAAATTATTGCCTCCCCATAACCTTGAAAAAAGTCTTTGAAAGCCAGCAGGTCAACTTACCCCACCAAAAATCTTTGAATATTATGACATTCACAATGAGGAAACACCTCTCGAACAAAAAGATGAAACAATCAGAATTGATTGTAGAATGTTTAGTTTTGCGTGTTTTGTTGCTCGAATGCTGTAAGATGAAAAGAATCGAGGGAACGTCGCCGAGATAAACAAATAAAACAGAGGTAAAAAAATCACACAAAACGTTGCCTTTCATATGCAAAAGAAATCCATTTACTATTGCGGACGAAAACGAGTTGGGTTTAGTTGGCTGGGCTGGAACCAGATCTGTGAAGGTCAGCTCGTTTAGCACCTCTCCCCAAGTTTGGGGCCCATCCTCTATAGACAAGATGGGGCCGGAGAAATAAAGTAAAGTGGAATGAAATGGAATCAAAGTGCTGCCTCCACTTCGCTAGGTTGACAATTTTAATTGCGTGCCAAGTGTGGCGGTCATAAATCATTGGGGAGTAGTAGGAATTTTTACGGTTTTTTCGGGTATCTCTTGCAATTAGCCGCTGAGCCAGCGTTTAATTTATATTATTAGGGGACATTTACAGTTATGTGCCGACTGATTTGTGACTGTCTCCTTTCCTTTCCTCACCCAAGACAACTCATGGCCATTGTCAGCATTCAGCATACAGCATTCAACATTCAGCATTTGGCATTCGGCACTCGGCATCCAACATCTGCATCAGCATCGGCGTCATCCTCTCCTCATCGTTCGTGGTGTTATTTCCCGGAGTAGGTTAATAGTGCCAAAACGGTGCAACAACAACAACTCCAACAACTACAAGAAATGGCTGCTGCAATGACTGTAGCATCAACAAACGGTGCCTCATTTATTTCCCCTTTTTCACCATTTTTTCCTGGCTTTGTTTTGTTTTTGTGGCACCATCAGTTGCACCCTTTCATTCTGGGCAAAGTCATGGAATAACATTATTATCCCGAATTTACCACCGCTCTCCCTTTTTCTCCCTAGCCTGTCCGCACAACAAAAATCCCATTCCCAAAGTGCTAGGAATATTTATGCAGCATTATTATTTATTTTATTGACAGGCAGAGGGAAAGAGTTTCCCTTGACTTTCCATATTCTCACCAGCTGATGTAGAACACTGATTAGTTTACAAAAAAAAACTATATATTTTTGGATTTCCTTCTAAAATGGATTTGTTAAAAATAAATTTAAAAAGAAAAAACAAAAATTGTTAAGAGTTGATTTTTTTCTATGATTCAATTCAATTCTCTTAATTTTATCTCTTTCTTCAGTAAATATTTTTATTTAAAACTCCAGAAGTATTTGAAAAGATGTACTTTTAATTTATCTAGTAGTCTAAGAAATACAACGAAGTTGTTAACAGGGTCTCCAGCATTCGTTGCTGCTCCGTTTTGGCCAATGACAGTCACCCATCCCAGGCAAATTGACTTCGATCCCCGGCTGGATCGATGCTTTGACTGCTCCGACAGCCTCGAATGCTGCTCATGCTGCTCCTGCTGCTGCCAAGTGGCAATAATTTGCCGACTTGCCCAAATGTCGGAGCGCAAAGAAGAGAGTACCGAAAGAAAACCTTTTACTTTGCGCTAATAAATTGCCATTAAACGACTTTGGAAGGCATTGCCACAATTGTTGCACCATAATTTCCCATCAAATTTTTCACACTCGCTACGTTCGGTTGGTTTTTGGCGCTGCGAGTGTTCGCGATAATCAAATATTTGACCTCTGCCGCAAATAAATTCCCAATGCAATCGCGGCCCAAGCCAAGGAATCGAATCCAGTTGGCCAGAGTTCGGTTGAGAACGTGAAAGCGCATTGCCGGTTGGCGGTTGGCGGTTGGCGGTTTGCTGTTGGCTGTTGGCTGTTGGCCGGCATCCGCTGAATGCCGAATGCTGCACGTTGAACGCTGGCTGGCAAAACGTCGACGTTGCGTGTTAAACACAATTCAAAGTCTATAATTATTGTACAATTGCCAGCAGAACCAACAGAGCCCAGTCAGGCTTGGCTCTGGCCAGAGCCCAACTTCCAACTCCCGACTTCCAACTCCTGCTGCCGTCCAAGTCGTAGTCTGGGATTGGGACTTGGACTGCAACTGCGACTGCGACTGGAACTTCGTATGGAGACGGGAGTTGGGAGTTGGGAGTCGGCAGTTGGAGCTCCAGTGGAAGTTGGAGCCGGAGCTGGGACACCGGCAGGCAGTATGGAACATGAAAATTGTAGCGTGTAAGTTGCAGCGAGCAGGGAAGCAGGGGAGCAGCGGAGCAGGGGAGTCGAGCATTCCAAACACACATTCTAATTCCACATTTGCCTCTGCTTTGGGTTTGACACACTGCTGGCAGCCACTGCCGGTGTGCTGGAGATGAATTCGTGACACGGCCTTAACTATGCATATATTCAAGATTCTCGAGAGTTTCCTAACCGTATTAAACAAAGTATTTAGCCATATCATGGCTGAAAAATATTTCATCCATTTGGTTTGACTTATATAATTTAAGTTATCATTCAATAACTTTTGCTGTTCTTGGAAAATCATTTTCTTCTATTTCTTTTGTTTGTTCAATGTAACCAAGCTTATTACAAAATAAAAAGAACGATATATCTTGGTATAAGTTGTGAAATGATATTTCTTTGCCATGTTATTGTACTCCGGATCGTAGAGGTATTACAATACAATTTTATTTCTTATACTTGAAAAGTGAGCATCTCTTGGCATTTCTAATGCTCTCCACACGTGACCACCACCAACGGCGGCAGATGTTTATCTGAGTGAATCTCCAGCTGAAGCGCCTGAGAACCGCGCTCCCCAGCCGCTGACTCTGCTCCTGCCTTTAACTGTTAACTTTGCTCTGACTTCGGATCGTTTGACTCGCAATTAATGCTCCAGACCTGGCTGTGTATGCAGCTATTGTTGCTGTTATGCTGGTAATACTTTTGGTTGCAGTTTCGGGGAAGCGGAAGCGTTGCCCACGCCCACTTGTCAGTTGGCCATGGCCAAGCTCTTTGGGTGAAAAGGGGGCCAGCGGGGCAGAGTGGGAGTTCGAGTGGGCGGGGGTGGCATTGGGGGGTGTACTGCAAGCCGAGCCAACCGTCAGCCAGCACGCCCCCCCACGCACACACCACACACACACAATCACACTCAGACACACACACATGGGAAACAGTGGGGAATCGGCGGGAGATTGCCGACGATCTTTTGGCGGAGATGGCGGCAATAGTTGAAAGTCTAATTGTAAACTGTTGTTCGCAGTTTTCCTAACTGTTGCTTGTTAGGCGCTTGTTTATTAACAATTTAGCACGGAAAATTCACTGCCAGAACAGCAGGATTCGTTCGGGTGGGAGGTGGAAAATTGGGCGGTCGAGGTGAGAGAGATCTCCTCGTGGGCGTTACTTATCTCTCTGGGAGCGGGACCACCGAAAATTTATGCCTGTCGCCGTGGCGAACTCCTCACACACTCGTAAAGTTCGTCAGTTTATGCGCTGACCGCCTGACCTTCCACGCCCCCTTCCATCGCCCCATCACCAGACGGATCCCCCTCCCACTCCCCAACCCATTGCTCACATGTTTTTCGCCGATCATAACTGTCACAATGTTCGAGGCATGAAAATGGGGCGTGCTGGGTGGCTTGGATTGTTTTTCGGGAAGTTGGGTGTTAAGGGGGACGGGGTGGGTGGATTAGATCACTGGGATCATTGGGATGTGGGCGGTGGAGGCGTGGCCAACGGTGACGGTGAGTCTTTGAGCTTTGGGGCATCGGTGAACGTAACGGAGGTTAACACATTATTATTTGCGGGTTGGGAAGGGGAAACCTCTTCTTGAAAAACACAAAAACACTTGTAAAATATTGAATAAGGATAAAAGATAAAAATCTTTTTATTTATTATAGGTTTTAGAGTAAATTTAATTAACAATCGAATGTATAGAAGAAAACCTATTAAATAAAACTCTAAACATGTACTCACTAGGTTTGTATCCATATTACTTAGAAAACTAATAGATGCTACATACACATCTGATATGCATGTATATTTTAATGCATATCTAAGTGTTATTACCCTAAAAATAGATTTAGTTACGCACTTAAAGGCATAAAGAGTTGAGTAACTTTTTGGACCAAATAACTTAATCGGCCTGTTCCCAGCTTCCCAACTCAGACTAAATTTGATCTCACTTTTCTTCTCTTTGCAGGTAAGCTTTTGAAATTTCCCTGCACGCTGGTTTGGGTTACGTAAGTTGGGCCAACTACACAACTAAGTTAAACTAATGCAAATAATTGGACAGATCGGGCCGGACCAACGCCCTGGTGGCCGTAAAGCTGAGTGAGGCCCAAAATAAAAGTATAGCGAAAATCGTAACAATGGGGCACTGACCGTTGCAGCCAATTTCGATTCGAAATGTAAACGATTTTCGTTTTAGTGGCTCTAGTGGCTGCAGTGCTTGCATAAGTTTTGTGTGCGCAATTCGGGCTAAATAAGCCAGCGGAATAATAACGGCCGGCATGGGTTAATGATGCGACATGTTAGCCAACGGAAAAACAGGCAACCAGAGCAAACGAGACGAAAAAAATGCGTCACGCTTACCGTTAGCATGCCAAGGAAAAGTCCGTCGGCCCACGGGGGTTGGAAATTGGGGTGGGGAAAAGCGGGGGCTTCACGGCTTGCCACGGAGAACGCACACGTATGTATGGCAAAACCCCTCCCTGGGGGGTCCCACTGCCACCGTAGCATCCCATCCCATTCCATTCCATTCCACTCGAAACCATCCCATTCCATACCATCCCATCATGCATTTCCACTCTCCCACGGATCGGATCGGATTTTCCACCTCCCCGCCGCCCAGCATGTGGTGCGCTCCCTTTTTGGCAAATTTGGTGCAGTGGCAGCAAAAGCAGAGCGGCAGCGCCTTTCACAAAATCTAATCAGCAGGGGAGTAGGCAGCAGGGGTGCGGCGAGGGGGGAGGCTATAGAGGGGCAGCCAACGGGGGGAGTGGTGCGAAAGGAAGCGATCAGAGCAATTTACTCAAGCGCAAAATTAGCAACTGAAAAAAACTAGGCAACTAGTCATCTTCTACAAGCAGAACATTTAATGCCCTACAACACACAAAGCACACTAATATTTTTATTAATATTCTTTGCTTTCAAGAAGAGATCCTTTCTAAGGCTATTTAAACATAAAAACTCTCTAAACAACGTTGAACAATTCTCTACTACCAAGAATTTGAAACCCATAAATTTCAATTGTTAATTGAGCCTAGTTCATTCGAGCCTTGTTTACAAAACAGCATAAATTACATAAAATAAAATATTTTGAGAATTAAGACTTATTAAACGTCATTAATTTAATGTAAAACTCAGATATTTAGATTTCAAATTATAATACTGAAAGAACGATAAGCCATCTAAGCCTTGAACTAACAGCAGTACCCCAATATAGAGTGTCAAAAAAACAAAACTGAAGCTGCGGAAAAACTGGCTGCTTGATTTGACCAAGCCGACAGTGGGCGTTGTGCCGCAAAGAGAGCAGTGCGGTGCGGTGCGGGGCGGGGAAAATGGATAAAAGTCTTCCACCAACATGGAAATCTTGTTACGCTTGCATTCATCTCCATCTCCATCTCCTTCTCCTGCCGGGCAATTCTAATTTCGAATTCCTCTGTGCGTGTGAGTTTTCCCCGGGAAAGACGAAAATAGAAGGTGAGGAGGAGAGAGATCCGCTTGCATGAGCAAATTTGATGCCATCTGTGTACAATTAGCTGTCAATATTGCGCATGCGCCACTTATGCAAAAGAAGGCTCCCATTCGCGGAGTAAAGGGGGAGCCTGGGGAGCCATCGGTAATGGCAGTCGGGGAGAAACAGCAAAGCAAACAAAACCGACTGCCGACTGACTCATTTGCCCAAAAGATTTTGCAACACGCAACACAAAGTCAACAACAACACACGCAACTTCGGCTGACCAAATACAGTGGGACAGAGTTGACATCTTAAGGGAAAAATTGGAAAAGAAAGCTTTAGGTCGAATGACCAGAAATTAAAAAATTATACAAATTTAATTATCTTTTATATTCTTAATATAATTGTATATTTATCTGTCATAAGTCCCAACTTTTTTCATCTTCTTAACAACCCATACAATTTAGTAATAGTAATACAAATGTGTTGCAATTAGAAGACACATTTTTGCATTGTAAACAGTTTTATTTTTTATACCCTTTTTTTAAACGGTACTTAATAAACTAAATACCACAGTTTCCATTCGTAACTCATGATCAGCGCACCTCAAATCGTCACCTCTCCTTCCCCTTCAACTCAGCCAAATTTATGCCTATTGGCTCACACATGAAGACAAGTGCAGCTCTGGTGTCGGACATTTTGCATAAAGACCCCACAGACATTTATATATACGGGTATGCATATATAGTTATAGACCCGACGGACAGATCCGTGGCCAGAAAAGATTAGGCGGAGCCACTAAATTCGTTTTTGTGTCGCTTGCTCCACATTTGGTGCGTTGGGCAATTTGAGAGGTGAATGAAAAATCCCGAGGCAACGGCACTCGATGTGTGACACATATATTCGGTTGCAAGTGTTGCTGTTAGCTGATATTGCTGCTGACTGCACACAAAAATATTTCTTATAAGACTTGGTATTTGTGGTATTAGTTTTTTCTATATTATTTGACTATGCTGAGAAAAAGATTGTTGGAAAAGTAAATCGAAGGAGGTAGTGATCTCTATTTAAGATCTTTTTTCTCTGTGTAGGATAACAGGTGGCTTGGCCAAAAGCATAGGCACAAAAGCGCGTGAGTCAGTTTATTTTGAAGTCATAGATTTCTTCTTATTTTCAACAACAATCGATGGACAATGGGGCGTTCCCGTTCGCTTCGGTTGCAGGTTGCAACTGTTACGGTCGCCAAAATTCGTGCGGGCCGTGTGCCTCCGGCAAGTGGCACGCTTCGGGCCAAAGTGAACGTGGCCCAAACGAGGCCCAGTCCGTTTTCGTGGAAACCTCTCGAAGGCATTTCTCTAGGCTCTCGGCGAAGGTAAATCAATGTAAAGTGTGTCAGCAGTGTGTGAGCATATGGAGTGGGGACTGCCACTAAAAATATTATAGTTAGTTAGAAAAACCAAGGTTTTCCATAGATTTTGCCCCAGAGATGATACTATATTATTATGTTTGAAATAGATTAAAACTGGAATTTCAAACTAAAATTATCATGAGCTCAAAAGTTTTTAATAGCAACAAACATTAATAATAATTCTATAAATTTATATAAAATAGAATTTATTAAAGACGTCTTTGTAAAATTGCAATAGATATCAAAATATATCAGCTTATTCTTAAAATGATTTCAATTTTATATGTATAGTAGAAAGATACCTGGGATAAGAACACCCACAAAGTTCTCTACAATAATAAAGCCCGAGTACAGCCTCCGATTTGAACCTATACCTTAATGAGAACAAAAGAGCTCTTGGATCCCCAGGAAAAGCCAAATGGCCCCCACCTCTGGCCCAATAATTTTCCAATCCGCCGCCTTGACAAGAACGCTGCAAAGAGCCCTCCTCCGCCGCATTCCCTACAGAGATTTACAGTTGGGCGGCCCGATGAGTGGCAAAAGTCTTAGCCCGGGTGGTCCGCCGAGTAAAGTATCTTAAGTATCTCTGGCAAATTGTACGATCATAACTCAATAGCCGGGCCTCATTAGGGACCCCCAAAAAACAGAGGAACGGAAAAAGCCAAGAGCTCCACTGAACCGCAGACAGATCGTTCTGAGGAGTGAAGTGGCAAAGTTCCCTCGATAGCAGCTTCGTGTGCAACAGTAGCCCCAATCCGTTGAGCTGTTGAGCTGTTGAGCTCAGCTCCCCCGCAGCAGAAACACACACGCACACATAAAGTCACTTACACACACATGCTGGCGGGTATATTAGAAACATTCTAACTAATAGCCAAAACATTGTTGGGTTTCCACTCATAAAATGGATCTCAATTTCCCTCGTTTTGGGGCAGGTGAGGCAGCTTGGGGGGTTCCCAAAACCGAAACACCGAAAAACCGAAACTGCTGCCCACGAATCTCGCGTCACCGCCGACGGTCACGTCAAGCCGTGCGCGTAATGAGCGTTAAATTTGTGGCCCGCTTTCCATCGGCCGCCTTCCCTCAGCAGCTTTTACTGATCTTTTTTTGTTTCAGGGTTCTTTTTTTGGCTAACTTCTAATCACCACAGAGCACGCTTCATTATTGGTTAAATTAGTCACAAAACGGTTTCCGAAGATGAGCTTTAATTATTGCAAAAACCACGGAAAGAAAGAAAGAATCGACACTCCAATACTTCCTAAGAAAATAAGAGTAGAACAAGATTTGGGCATTGAAATTATTTATAAAAAATCTTTAATTAAACATTTAAAAATCCACAGTAAAAATTCATCCTTGCTTTTATTATTCAGTTATATAAATTAAAGATTTCTACAATTTAAATACATTGCAAGTCTCTCAAGCAAAAAGGGTACTCTTCAAAAAGAAATCAAAACATTCCTGAGAAAATGCTCATTTAACGTTAATTCTGCGGTTTGATCTGCCTGGCTAGATTTTGTGGGGAATGTGGGTCAGAATAAATTATTAATGAAGTGAATTATAATGCTTCAATTGCAGGCTTGGGCCCACTTTGGCTCAACTCCAGTTTAGTTTTCCCAAGCCTTTCACTGCCTATCAATAAATTTCCGTCTGCGATGGCAGGCGGCGATAAAGACAAACGGCCTGCCAATATGAATTAGCTAAGCGAATTGGCCATTTGGCAACTTGGTAAACAACTTCCAGGAGAGAGCATCCCTCGGCCCTCCCCGCTCCCTGTCCACTATCATCATTATCATTAGCACAAGTTTGCGCCCAAGTAAAAAGTTTGGGGAGCAGAAGGGGAAGCGGCGAAGGGAGCGGCTGGCGAAAAACTGTAGCAGTTGATAAATGTTAATGTTGATACCAAGTAAGGCAAAAAATGCTATCTGCAGATAGAACTTTATCAAGTGGAATCTGGATACTCTTAAATGCGTTTTGAAATTGCTTAGATTCTAATAAGTTTTGAAGACCATTTAAATAAGACAATGTCACTTTTTCTTTACCGAAATCGAAACTTTCGGAGTATTTAAATTAATTATATTCCCATTAAACTAATTTTAAGTTGATCAAAACTTACAAAGAATGAAGATTCCTGAATATAAGCTGCAAATAAAAAATTAATGAATAATTAAAGTTCATTATTGCACCTCATTTAACATAAACAACAATCAAATATATATTTTCCCAATATATATTTTAAATATTGTATGTTCTCATTTTACCAATCCCCACTTGAACCGATCTTCTAGAAGTCAGGGTATTTCGTCGAAATGGGCAATTGGCTTCCTGGCTAGCTGGAGAGGTTAACAAAGTTCAGCGGCGATGCAGCGAAATTCCATTCATTGGCCATTGGATAAGGAGTAAGACAGGGAGGAGGGGTTGGCTGGTACGGGGCTCATTGACGATGTTGTCGTCTCGTCTGCGACTGAAACCGTGGCTTGTGCTTTGGCTTTTCAACACGCTTGGCCAATAAATTGTGGCCAGCACTTGTTGTTACGCTTTTAACGGTTCGGATTCGGGTTCGACTTGGAGTTGGAGTTTGCAGTTTGGAGTTTGGAGTTTGCTGTTTGGAGTTTGCTGTTTGGAGTTTACTGTTTAGAGTTTGGAGTTTGGAGCTCCGATTCAGGTTCATGTCCAGCTACGGTTTCAGCCCCTCTCACTTTACATTCCTTTTGGCATTGGCCATGGCTGCTCGATGAGAGTCGGCCAGATCTATTTTTGCCTAACAACAAAATATTTCTCTTGTACAAATTTTTTACAGGAAACTGAAACTGCTTAACCATTAAAGGCTGCCTCCGAATACTGGAATACCAAAAAAAGAAACATTTTGCTGCTTGTTTTTTTGCTGGCAACAATAGATTTGGCTCATTCGATTAGACTTGATTTAGCCGGGAAGGGGTTGGGCTGAATCAAAAGATTTAGTTTTCAGCTTTTCCATGGAATTTCCGCTCCATTCGTGATGCCTTTTTTTTATTCAGCCGGCCAGGTCTTTTCTCTGCCGTTTTTCCCATTTCGATAGCATCGCATTGTCATGGTCAGCTACCGGGGGAATAAGTTGTAATTTTTTCTATTACTATTTTATTGGGTCCAATCGGAATTTGTCAAATCATCGGACGGCGCGGAAGAAGATGGCCCGGGTGATGGTGATTTGCATAAACCTTTTCAGCAGAACTTGGTACCTTTGGGCCCAGGGCTTTCGTGGGCTATTAGCCTAGAAAGCATCCATCTGGCCATATAGCCATATAGCATTCAAGAGCTCATCTGTTCGCATTGATGATGCTCAGCTTTTTTGGCAGCTCGGAGCCTCGGTTTGTTTGGCTAATTGGCCCGCTAAGCCCTCGCCCCGCGGCTCTGAAAACTTTGTGCTAATCACTTTAACATTTGCAACTGCTTTTTGACCCGCTTTTCCACTGGCCATCACTGTTGGCAGCCGGCAACCGTTTTGTTTGTTTGTAATTATTTTTGTTTATTTCTTGCTGGTGGCTTGCTGGGTCTTTAAGCAAGTAACATTTACAGTTTTAGATGCGTTGCGTGTGGGTAATGATGGGTGATCTATACGAGTATCCGAATGTGTATTTATATTGCCTAATAGTCACGCCACGCGTTCTGGCCAAAGAATCTTGGGTTCGGCTTGTGACACACATTTCTCCCCTGTCTCTTTGATTTTATTTATTAGATATGCAAATATGTTCTCGCCTTAATGAAAGGGTTCATAGATTGACAGCAGCTAAAACGTGCATTTAAAGACATTTATTTAGAGATTTAATTGCAGCGCTTTTACTCTGTTGAATACAGTTCTGCCTTACAAATATTTAAAAATTGTATGAGTTCATGTTACTAATCGTAAGTTACCTCATTCAAGTGTGCATAAATTATGTCTACTTTAGACGCCTTGCGGTCTGCCTTTTTCATAAGTAACAAAGTGAGCAGCTTAGCAAAGATTAATTTCAATTTGGAAGTCGAGTCTCATCTGCAAATATTGAGCAAAAATGAGTCAGAGGTGATTCAATCGCCTTTCAAAACAAATCTGTTGGAATATTTAAAACTTTTCGAGACCTACAAATCACATACATTATTACTTTCTGAGGTAATCAATTTATACATACAGCAAAGTAGCTAACCTTTGTGATTTCTAAGGTCGCTAGAGTACAAAGTGATAAATAATGAAAGTACTTGGATAGAAACCGAAATATTAAATTAGCAAACATTTTGAGATATGTTTTTGGCAAGCGATTGTGTCAGTGGAACAAGGCTATAAAGTGTCCCAACTATTTTCCAAGCAAACTATAAGTTTGACTTCTTCATTGCGGGGCTTCCACACCTCCAATTTGTGGTTATTTATGTTTGGCCAACTCTTTTAGCCCGACTTGGCTTGAACTTTTTGTCGAGCTTCCCAACCGAAGACCTGCACAACAACAAGCACAGGCACATTGACAACTATGCAAAGTCTGTCTGTACCTGAGTACCTGTACCTCACTAACCCTGACTTTACTCTTCATTGCACTTTTGGCATTGAGTTGTTGCTGTTGCTGTTTCTGTTGCCGTTGCGGTCGCCGTTGTGTTTGTTGTTATTGCCCCTGTCGACTCTGTCGAGCTGCAAGTTGTTGTCTATAAAAGAAAAAATAAAAAAGAAGAAACCTGCAACTTGGTCAAAGTGTCGCCCTGACATGTTTTTGCAGAAGGCGCTTTTGGTAGGAAGAAGGCGAGGAGCAAGAAAAAACACTTTCCGTCTTTACGCGCAGCTAAAAACCGCAAAGTGTCTTTGGGAAAGGCAGTCAGTCGGAGAATCGGAGACGGAGACGGAGACGGAGTCAGTCCATGACAATGTTTGGACTTTCTGAGCAGGAAGCCAACCAACGGCAAGTGGCATTGTGTCTCCTCTGTCGTCGTCGTTTGTGCCGCAGGTTGCACCTAGGCACCAACCTGTGCAATCTATAAACTACACTGAAGAGAAATAAAATCCATTGCACTTTCATCCCATTTGATAGAAAGTTTTGAACAAAACTATAGTTAACACTCAGGAAGAATAGGTTATCTGTTTCCTCACAAGTTAACAAATTTCTAACCGCAAGAAAACAGTTTTTGATAGGGTTAAATTTTGTAAGGTTAGTAGAAAAAGAAAATGCGTAAACTGTAATTGGTGCTTATATTTTCAGTAAACTTATTTGAGGTTCCACAAATCAATAAATATTTCAATTCTGATTATATGAAAATTTGTTTGATCCACATTTTTATTATATTTTATGTAGCATTTGTTATTTCTTTCTGTGCATTGAGGGAGGGTCCAAGGGTAGGAAAGTACTTTTAGCTCTGCCTCTGCAGAAATGTTTTGAGGGCAACGCAACAAACTGATCGCAGTCTGAGTCGCAGTGTTTCCCCCTCCAGTTTGTTTTCCTAGCCTCCTCCGTTTTCTCTCGCAAGATCTTAGTTGGTCAAGTGGGCAGCAGAATTGAGTCAGTGTGACAAACAATATTTCCCTTATTCGGCTGGGAAGCCCCATAAAAGTTGCCAACTAACCTTCCAAGTGGGGCGCCCTTTGAAACCCAGAGTCGCAGCTAATTTCATGCAAATTATCCATTTGCATGGAGAAACGCTTTTGTGGGTGCTGTCCACTTGTATAATTAAATGTTTCGACAAAAGTTCCCAAACAAATTGGAGCAATTTCGGTTTATACTTTTGCTTGTAATACACAGTCTCAAGGCAGAAAAGCAAAACTATTTGGCTATTTCTTTTATTTTTCCTTGCGAAACCCCAACTTGAAATGATAAACGAGAGGAACACGCCCCGCTAACGAGTTACAAGCGGCGGAACAGAGTCAGTTTTGCTATTTCTTTGTGAAACATTTAAACAATTGTCTTGTTGGGTGTCTCTAATTGATAGTGTCGTGATTTGGCTTGTGCTGCAGTCGGGATCTGGTTCGCTTCAGTTGAAAATAGCAGCCGAGCAGCCAAACAGCCAAACAGCCAAAAGAGACGGGAGTTAATAAATAAAGGCGTTGCCGCTGTTGGGAAATGCAAACAAAAGTTTATGAATTATAATTGGCAGCGGGAGATTTTCAAATATATCTTTTCACAAACCATGCAATTAAAAGCCTACTCCGAACTTTTAAAGCACTAGTCATTGCGATACTTGTCTAATTAATCGACGTACTTAGTGCCTACTATTAACTTATGCTTCAGTTGCAATTTAATTTACTTACCAAAAAATTTATCACTATAATCTATTCATTTTTCAGTTTCTAATTTGAAGATCTTGATTAAAATTGTTAAAACTAAATAAAATCTATTTTATTAACTAACTTAGAAAAATCCTTTTTTATTTGTAATTGGAGGTAGACCTATTGATTTGCATTTGGAAGCCAAAATTAGTTATTAATAATTATTCCATCAGCGGAATGATGCAAATTTTATCCATCTTCTCAGTAAACAAATATTAATTCTTACCTTATTTGTTCATAACTCAAAGCAGAACCTTGCACTGCCGCTTGACACCTTTCACATCGCCAAACGCCATAGAAGCGACATTAAAAAACACGATAATTGCTCATGAAATGCCAAGTGGCCAATAAAAAACACTCACCCACGCAATTGCAACCTGAACAGTCACCGCAAACTGAAAAGTATCTCTGAATCGGGGAAGGGGAAAACTGCTTCGCTCATTAACAAATCAAAAATTGTCATCGGGCATAAATGCTAATTGACTTTTATGGACTATTGATTTTTCATCATGAATTTTCATTAGACACGAGTGGCTTCCTTATGACTCGACTTCCGCATGGCCATAAATCTATTGACAACTGTCATTCACC